ACTCATAAGAGACTAAACCCGGACTTTAAGCTCAACACAGCTTACTAATCCATTGACCTTCACTTTGTAGTTACACGCCTCTGTTGGGCCGTGGGGATTCCTGTGAGCTGGTGGAAAATCTGGAGTCTAAATAGTTTAAAGCACAGATCAAAGCTGTCCAAAATCCAGAGATCTACCTTAGTGTCATGTGGGAATAAAGCATTAAAGGTTTAGAAAGACTTCATTTTGATTTTCCAAATGGAGCAGGAACCCTGAGCACCCTGAGGAGGTAAGCACAGGGTTAATGCCGTTGATGTGTTCTGTTGAACTAAACACTGTAGATGACCTCAGGAAAGGATCGATTACTCCACAGTATGTGGGTTTTGTCAGACCTGCTGCTGATGAAAAACAGTGCTGATTAATGATTTGCTCCATTAAAAACTTTCCACTAAAATAATTCCTGGTTTCATTTCTAATTAAGGGAGATGTTTCCCATCCTCTAATGTCTCACTTAGCCAACATGTCAGCGATCAGACGCAGCGTGGCTAACCAGCCAACCAGTTTGGTTTTGGCTAGCTTGGCTAATGATTCCTCTCCACCAGCAGGCGTCAGCCAGCTGGACGGCTCTGACACCCATTATGGCTCCTGGAGCTCACCACCCCCACCTTCCATCTATCCATCAGTCCGCCCACAACCACCAACTGGCCGTTACCCAGGAGGACTCGCCAGGCCGGCACTGCTAGGCCTAAGAAAGGGAGCACAGCAGCCATCAGCATTCCTCCACTCCGCTGCGTCATTAGTGAGCCAAACCAGTTCTGATGAGCTGGATCGAGAGTCAGTTAAATACGAGCAGTGAGGTTGGGGCAGTTGTGCTTATTTTTATATCTCAGGAACACCTTTCTTTAAATGTGGCACTCGAGGAAGAGCAAGAGCAGCTGTTTGGAGAGGTTACTCACTTCCTGTTAATCCCACACGACTGAAACTGGCCGATTTCACACAATGAGCAGCAGTGAATGCAGCCTAATGACTAAAATAAGTTATTAGACCTGCTCTGAACAAAAAAGACATTGAGACATTTCAAAATTTAAATGGAAAAAATTCTAACATCTTTTTTTTTTCCCCTCACAGGAAAGGCAGTTTTGTCCAGTACTATTTATATAACGCCAAAACACAACAACGGGCACCTCAAGTTAAAGACTCCATGATAATTAGGGATGGGTACCGGTTCTGACATAAACGGTAGTAACCAGACCGAAAAGCAGCGCACATTTCGGTGCT